TTTGATTTCCAATCTGGACTAGAGTCCTGAGAATTCTATATTCTTCCATCCAAGTTTTAGGAAAGCCTTATCTTCCTGGCTGAAGGAATATTGATATATTAATAAATTTATTTTTCCCATAATGGTCAGTATAAATATATCTATTTAGAAAACTGGTCTTAGAAACTTCAATTATATGAAGGTGTTCTTGCTTTTTAAACTGAGCACCAATAGTTACAAACCATTTTATGAAATAAAACAGATCCATTCAGGTATAGACAACATTGCCTCTCTTCAGGGCCAAAAAAATGGAAGTGGCTGAAGATTCAGATGTGGAGATACTTGAAGACCATGAATGGAGACACGGAGAATGGCTACTGATGCTGTCACTATAAACTCTTCCCTTCCCTTCCCATCACAATATTGCCTTATAAATACATCTGTCTTCTGTTTTTTAAATGATGCTTGTTGCGTCCTTGGCGGGAAAACAGACACGAGAAGCAGCTGGAGTTCTCAGTTTCTTTTATTCAGTGTTCAGCTTACAGGAAGATGGCTTCAGCCTCGCCCAACGCCTCGCAGCCTCTTATATAGGCAACTCCCGGGTAAATGGGTTACTTTTCCCGCGCCAGCACCCGCGCATGCGCACGGCGCTGGCGACAGCCTGTCTGGTCCCGGGCAGCTTTGCACCTGCCCGGGACTGCCTGCAAACGCCCGAGCCGTTTGCAAAGGCTCGGGACATAACACCCCTTTCCCCCGGGCTAAAACTACTACCAACATACAACATTTATTTTATATGACATTTTGCTCCCCAGTGCTCCCACTGTTTACTGGCCTTTGCCTTGCCAGCAATGTTATGTAGTCTTCTAGGTACTTGGGAGATTTCTTTGCTCTCTGTGACCTTCTTAGCTCTTGTATTGCACGTTAAGGGTGGCCTCCCCCTTAACACACACTCTTGAGTTCTGAAAATCTGTTAATACAATATCAGAAGGCCTTAACTTGGCCTTAGACCCACTACTGGAACAAATCTTCCTAAATGTATGCAATGAAATGATGGACAGGGCAGACCCTGTGTCTAGTTCCATAGATAATGGAACCCCTTGTAGCTTCACGTTGAGTGACAGCTTTTTCTTCATGGGCTTGTGTGTGCCTGTTCTACAGATGCTTCTTCGCGAAGCGCAAAACCCTACCCTATTCTGGCTGGGGAATCTGGTACCTTTCAGGCGTTCTTCTTGGGGTTGTGCCTTTCGTCGGCTCAGACACACAGCTGCAATGTGCCCTTGTTTGCCGCATGCCCGGCAGGTAGCGGAGCGGAACTTGCAGTCGGTTCTCCTGTGGCGACCTCCACAGCCGATGCACTTGAGCAGAGCCGAAGAGCTTCCCTTCTGGTTCTCTTCCTTCGCGGGGTGTAGACGGTCGACTTCCTCGTCCGGATCCTCCTCGGAGTTTCGTCGGACGTCTTCCTGGTGCACGGACGCACCCTCTGCACTGTTTCTGATCGGCCGCATGTTTTTGATGGCGCCGCCTGCTGCTTCTTCTGCGGTGACTTCCCTTAAGGCGTCTTGGAAGGATAATTCTTCCTTGGCAAAAAGTCTCTGTTGTAGCTCTCGATGCCTTAGCCCGCACACGAATCGGTCCCTCAGTCGTTCCTCGAGGTCCTTGAACTCGCAGGGCTTGGCGGCCTTCCGTAGCGCGGCGATGTATTCCTTGGCTGTTTCACCGGACCGTTGATCCCTCTGCTCGAAGGTGTGGCGCCATGAGATAACGGACACCTTGGGGTGGAAGTGCTCTTTCAGCAGCTTCTTCAGGTCTGCGTAGCTTACAGACTCTACTGGAACAGGTGCTACAAGATTTTCTGCGATTTCGAAGGCGTCTTGGCCGCAAACGCAAAGCAGGGTGGCGGCCTTCAAGCTATCTTCCCTCACTTTGTTTGCCTTGAAGTAGTTCTCCATTCTGGATACGTAGGACTCCCACCGCTCTGGATGTGAGACGTCGAATTCCGAAAGCCTTCCGATTTTCGCCATCTTCGGATCTTCAGGAGACGGGTCTATCAGCCAGCCTACCCCCGAATGCGCACCGGATTGGCGGGCAGCTGCCGAGTCGACGCCGTTCCTCTTCCGCCGCTCAGGACTCCTTGGGTAAGCTTACACTTTTTCCTTTCCAGGTAGTGCAAGGCATCCCACCTTCGTCGCCAGTGTTGCGTCCTTGGCGGGAAAACAGACACGAGAAGCAGCTGGAGTTCTCAGTTTCTTTTATTCAGCGTTCAGCTTACAGGAAGATGGCTTCAGCCTCGCCCAACGCCTCGCAGCCTCTTATATAGGCAACTCCCGGGTAAATGGGTTACTTTTCCCGCGCCAGCACCCGCGCATGCGCACGGCGCTGGCGACAGCCTGTCTGGTCCCGGGCAGCTTTGCACCTGCCCGGGACTGCCTGCAAACGCCCGAGCCGTTTGCAAAGGCTCGGGACATAACAATGCTCATTTAACAAAAAGGTTAATTGGGGGAAGAGTAATTTTATGCCTTGCTATTGACAGGGATATCATTGGATCCTGCTTGCCTTTATATCCCCCATCATCAACAGTAGCTGCCAGTCAAACAGCAGCATCAAGCATGAAGTGGGGATAAGAGAAGTCAAAATGGAAGGTAGGTGAGATGAGGTGAGGTGAGGTGAAATGAGAGAAGAGAAGAGAAAAGAAGGGAAGGGGAGGGAAGGGAAAAAGAGATGAACACTTTTGTATCAGCCTAGATGTACATATCTGAGAGATGGGACCCACAACAAAGCCAGACTTCCTATCCTAGTGGGCCAGGTGGAGGAATTGGGGCTGTATGTTATTACCTTATTCTACTGCACTAAAGAAAGAGTTGAAAGTGAATGTTTTTTTCTTTTTTCCCCTTTCCTGTACACTTTTTTTCCTTTTTCTCTTTTTTATCTTTACCTTTATTTTTTTTTGTACTTTATATTTTGATAAGCTAATAAAAAATTAACAGTAGAGGATGTTCTTTGGACCTCTTTAAAATAGAATAGAGAGGTCTAAAGAACATCTTCCACTTTTAATTTTTTATTAGTTTATCAAAATACAAAGTACAAAAAAAGGGAAAGACCTCTTACAAGAGTAGCTATCACAAGAAATGACTTTGGGTAACTTTATGAAAAATATCAGTACAATGCAATTTTTTGTAAAATATTAATAATAGTAATAAACCCATAAAATGTACAAAACAAACTGCAAAGAATGGCAACCAGGAGTAAATTCATCAATAACACATACATAGAACTCATAAGCTTAACCACCTCCCAATTCCCATGACTAAGATGATTCCCAGGAGAATTCATGCTGGCTGGAGAATTCGGGGAATTGAAGTCAAGACATCTTAAGTTTAAAATATGTGGAATCAATAAACAATCAATCAATGTCTTTCAGCTCTGAGGACACTCCTGCTAGACAGCTGCTCCAGATGGTAAGTGAATGTTTCCTTCTCTATTTTTGTTCTTCCTTTGTGGTTTCTTCTATTTTTGGATTCTGAACTTTTTTTTTTTCCTGAATAAAAGCATGATGGAACAACAGCTCCACCTCCAGGAACATCCTTCTAAGATTTAGTGGAGGAAAGAGTTTTTGCAAAAGTTAAGGTAAGATTTTCAGCGTTGTGTATCTCCAGGGCAATAATAGACATCTGGTGTCTTCTGTCCTTAGATGGGTCTTTTGCAGATAGAATTGAGAGTTGCTTTTGAAGGCAGAGAATCTCCCTTGGATGGCTGGAGAATAGTGGTTGATTGTTTCTGTTGAATAGTGAGCCAACCATTTCGGACCCTTCCTTGGAAACTGCTTGATCCAAAGCAGGCCATAGTCATTTATGTCAAAATCTTTTATAGAAGAGGTGAGTCTTGTGGATTCTTCTGCTCTTTTTTGTTCTGGACCAGCCTTGTGAGAGTGACTTGTGAATCCCCATCTGGAAAGGAAAGAGGCAGATAGATTACTTTAATGAAGGATCAAAACCAGTAGGATCAAGTGATATCCCTGTCTACAGCAATCTTCTCACAATTTAACTCCTTATTAAAAAAATATTTTTTATTTTAAAAAAAGTCAGAAAGATTTACATGATGGTGTTGTGACGAACAAGAACATGTTGAAGAGCCATAGTATTGTGGTAAATGGAAAACTTAATTAATCTGTGATGACTAACATAGTCATTTTTCCTTTTCTTCTTTTTCCTTTTTTTTACAGTTTATTGTTTTTTTCATACATTTCAGTAGTACTTGGTGAGATCATCTGCCTGTACAGAGTGAGGCATCATCAATATGGAGATGGTACCCAGAGGCACAGTATATCTCTGCCCCCATCCATCCAAGTGAAGCTGCTGAGGTTCTGTTCTAGGGCTGTGAGGATCTGGAGGGGGTAGAACAGGTTGCAGCTCAATGCTGAGCAAACTGAATCATTCTGGCATCTGGCTGTCGGATCTAATAAACAGAGTCTTTCCATTTTTGATCTTGGATATAGTAGCATTGCCCTGTTTGGACTTGGTGAACAATCTGAGGTTCTGAACTTAGCTTCTGCTTGAAGAAAATTCAAGAACTATGATCGTAGGGACCTTTACCTATTGGGCAGCAATTTTGCCAATTCCTGGACTGGAACAGCATACTGATTACTGACCTCTCATTTGGAGTAGTTCAATGGATTCTACATGGAGCTGCCCTTGAAAACCATCTGGGAACCAGAGTACATCTCTTTAGACCAATTTAACACTACTAGTTTATGAGTTGCATTGGCTTCCAATAGGCTCCTGTTATAATTCAAGGTGCTGGTTATCAACTTTGAAGCCTTACATGTCATAGAAAGGGGCAACTTGTAAGACCACTTTATTCCAAGAACATCTGCCTGCCCCATTTGCTCCTGTAGTAAAGGGAGGCTCCAAATTTCCCCTTTTAAACTTCCACACATAGCTGGCAGAGCATGGAAAGCAATCTAGTTGCCAGCTGCCATTCAAAAACAACAAATCACTAAAGGTTCATTTTGAGGAAGAGAAGTTTTAGGCTGCTAGAGCAAAGCATTTCTTCACTGTGTATCCTGCACAGTAATAAGTGCCGGTGTCCTCAGGCTTTAAACCAGTCAATTGAAGGAACACCTGGTTTTTGGATGTATCCCTTGTGATTGTGATCCAATTCTGGAGAGCACTGTTATACTGAGTGTAGGGATAAGAGACAGACGAAAGTTGTGAGCAGAAAACTGCCCTCCCAATGCTTGTGCCTTTGTTATGCATCTTCTTCTCCTCCCCCCCTCCCACATCACCATGGTGACGTGACGCAGGTCTATGTGACCTTGCCAATTTGATAAGGCTAATGGGTGAACAACAAGTTTTCCTGTTTATGGCCTCTAACTTTTTACTCTTGAGGATTGGTAAAGGATTTTAGCCAATAAAATGCTGTTGCCATGCTGTATCTTTTGCTATTTGTGAACCTCTATATAAACAATAAAAGGCTGCATAGGGTGGCCATTTCTTTGCACCCTTCAATGACTAAGGAGTGATTACTACAGCTGGCGCCCAAACAGGGACATTTTGTTTTGGGACCCCTACGGGAAGAAGCAGCTGCCAACATACTTACCATCATCTGGAACAGACCCCTAGGTGCACTTTCGTCTTACGAGACCCCTCAGTGAGTAAGTATGGGCTGTAAATTATCTCACCCTCAGCAAAAGTATGTACAGGAGTTCAGACTCCTTCTACAGAAATCAGGCTTGGCAACGCTTGAAACAAACATAAGGAAGCTGATTGGGGAGATAAGAAAACAGTGTTTTTCCAATCCTAAGCATCGGACGCTTAGGCTAAAAGATAGAGCATAAATTACATCTTGAACCTTGGGCTTCAGTATAAACACCTTTAGTGTTCACTCCTGTCAAAAAGAAAAAAAAATGGACCCAAATACTTCAGAACGGCAATTAACTATCAGCCCGCTTCTGCTAGCAACTAAGTAAAATTTATTCCTTCTAAAAACATCTTTAATTGGATTTTCAGCTTCTTCTGAAGAGGCTAATTCTTTGTTTATTAGTTAAAGTCATAAATCAAAATTTACTCCCTCAGAACAAACTCTTTTGAGCAATCAGAATGCTTTGAAACTTTGTAATATATTAAGTTAGCCGGTTGTGTTTTGTGTTTTGTGTTATGTGTGTGGCCACTCAGAACATTATGCTTGGGCTTGGAATGGTGAGAAAAATGGGAAATGATTAGGGCCCTCAAAACCACTTTTTGGTTGAAATCACCTTGTCATTTTTCTCGCTTCTTGCAAGACAAGTTATATGTCTAAATAAATGTTGTAACAGTATCTGTGTATATATATTTGTCTGTGTTGTTCTGTGTTATTCCAAGACTTGGAAGAGGCTCAAAGCCCTCTCTGATAACAACAATACAAAAAGGCCTTGTTAAGAATATATGGTTTGCCTGGAGAAAGTATGAAATGAAATAATTGTATGTGAAATGGTTTTATGCAAACAGTCAGTATGAAACTAAATGAGTTAATTTGTTGAAGTGTGTGTTAGCTTTCAAAACCCACCCATTTTTTCCCTAACTGTAAAAATAATAGTAAATATTTGTATGAAAAGAATTTCATGGAAAATGTATGAGAAGAATTTATTGCAAAATGCATAGGAAGGAGGTGAAACTATTTTTGGGTGGTGAGATTCCCCCCCCCCCTGTCTCTTTCGGCTGGCTGCATAGCTTAAAAAGCCAGAGACAGGAAGGGGGGGGGGAACTGTTCGTTTAAAAAAATTTTTTTCCTCTGCTTAGAATTATAATCTAAAAAGAATGGAGTGAATTTAAAACTTGACATTCACCTATACAGTTTCGGCAAATAATTTTTTTTACTCAAAAGAGAAGCAGTAATGTTGGACAATATTTTTTATATCCAACAGCCAAAAGAACTAACTGAATTACATTGTTATAGATTTATATATATATTTAACCTATTTATATAAAAATTATTTCCATCTAAATGGACTTTGCTTAAATTGAAACACCAAAAATACAATTTAATTGGCTTTCAAAAAATATATAATGATTTAGGATTGCAATAAGTCCCAGAAAAAAATATAGTTGCACAAATTGATGACATCATGAATACTCAATTTGTGGACAGAATTTCACACTTTTGATTTTTTCCTACCAATAAATTACCTAATGGAGTATTAACTGTAATAGAAGTACAGAAAATATATTAAATTAAATAATATTTACTTATCCCACATCCCATTCCAAAATGTTTTATTTTTTATCCAGGTGGTTGTTAAAATGATAACCTTAGGACGCACAAGAGTTTGCTGTCCAAAAAGAAACTGATTAATTAATATTGTTTTCAAAAATAACTTATTTCTTTAATGTGCTTTAAATGACTTTCATATCATTTGCCTAATGATCTTTGACTTGCTTGTTTAATGACTGTTTCCTTTCCAGTCCAGCCACTATTTTCTTTCTCTTTCTCCCTTGCCACAAGTTATTGCTTTTTCTGATGAAGGGTGAATGAGAGGAGCAATTGCTTACAAGGATGATACCTGGAAAGTGTCCTACACTGCAATGCAACCCTTATCACAATGCTCAGAATTATTTTAGCTTTTCAAACCTTTTCTCAACAGTCTTTTAACTTAATCTCTGACTCTCATTATGTGTGCCAACTTACTTTTACTCCCTCAGGTGCTTACATCATGCCCAGGATTGGCCCCAATCTTATGACTTTGTTTTTAACTTTGCAGCAGCTGCTCTAAAACTGAAAGCATTTATAATTTTGTTTCTCATATACACAATCACTCCTCCCTTCCTGGGCCTAATTTTTTTTTTATGTCTTTTGTATGTCTTTTTTTATGTCTTTTATGTGGTTTTGCCTCTAATCAACTATGACAAATGGACATTATCCATGTTTTCTTTTTTTGGCTTTTTAGAAATGTATATTCACAAATAGATATTTAGGAACAATTTCCCCCACCTCTATGAGGGGAAACAGGTTCACATGTTATTTTTCATCTTTTTTGGGACAATTTTATACAACCTGAAATATTGTTTTTACTCATGGTTTTCTCTATAATTCCACGGGTCAAGCTATCGTGGAACGTGCTAATTGGTCTTTCAAGGACTGCCTTCACAAATAAATAAAAAAGGACGGATTATCTAGGATACCCAATTTGTAGTGGGTAATACAACAGGTTCAAAAAGTATTATTTACATTACACCAATTGAATATTTCCATTCCAAATTTGACTGCTTATTAGAAACACTTTTAACAGAAAACAAGCTTGCCTCCACCTCTGGCATATCGGGCATTACCAGACAAAGCATGGTTGGGACCAGTCCCTCTGATCACTTGGGGGCGGGGCTATGCTGCTGTGCTTGCTCCAACAGGACCTTTGCGGATTCCAGCGCGTTGTGATCACCCAGCCAGGGATGTCGTTGCACCGGTCCCTGGACCCAGTCCCAGAAATGGCAAGGGTGACTCTATAGATGGCACAACAAGTAATCCAATCCTGACATGCCAGGCAGCCAGTGACATGGGGAGATGTAAAGAACTTGATCCCCAAGAACCTGTGTGCTGCCATTTTTGCGGTTTTAACTGCAAATTTTTTATCCATCATTTGTTTATGTCTGATCGTTAACATCTGCCCTTTGACAACTGTAACTGTCATCTCACTTAAACAATCATTCGAACAATGAATGAAGCAAAATCTAACATCACACAAAATGACTTCTTTTGTTTATCTGAAATGTATTATATGTAATTTGCTTTCTACATGTTTAGTCTTTGTTTGCACCCCTTCTACAGTAATTCAAAACTTCACTGACTCTGGGAGGTTATTACTTAAAAAACCTCACTGTCATCGCATTGGCTCACCTGCTTTAAATTGCACAGCTTCAATAGAGACTTCCTTTCATTTTGGACATGCTTGGCTACTGCAAGGAGGGTTTTATACGTGTGGTCAAGAAACTTTAAATTATCTTCCTGCTAATATTAGTGAAGTGCAATGTTGCCTCAGCCAGCTGATTCCTGTTTTGCTTTCCAAACAACAAGTTCACATGAACCATTCTCCATGTGATGTCATGCTAGACAACACTTGTGACTCTGAGACAACCTTACTTTGTAGCATTGGCTATATCTCCAGTGGGCGTGCCAGGACTCGCTGTTCGTGCCCACCTCAACATTAATGCTATTATATGAAATTTGGCAAAGACACTTAATACTACTTCTTCAACTATTTCAGCGATCAGCCATGAACTGCAAAATTTGAGAAGAGCTATTTTGCAAAATCACGCTGCAATTGATTATTTGCTTCTACACCAGCATTTCGGTTGTAAACATTTTGAGGAAATGTATTGTTTCAATATTTCTGATAATTCATAAACCATCCAGCACCAGATTTAAATTTTACACAATTTGGCCTTTGATTTGAAAATTGGTACCTTAGGATCTTTATGGGTGCTGTTTATGTAATGTATTTCTTTCATTTTGCAATATATGTATTAGAGCTTTAAATCCTAGCAGATCCTCTCTCACATTGCCTCAGGGTCAAGTTTTGGCCCTATATTAACAACTGCAAGGATGCTCCTCTCCTGATTATAATCTTTTATTAACCCTGCTTATGGCGATATTTTGTCTAACAAAACAAAAAGGAGTGAGATGTAGGGATAAGAGACAGACGAAAGTTGTGAGCAGAAAACTGCCCTCCCAACGCTTGTGCCTTTGTTATGCATCTTCTTCTCCTCCCCCCCTCCCACATCACCATGGTGACGTGACGCAGGTCTATGTGACCTTGCCAATTTGATAAGGCTAATGGGTGAACAACAAGTTTTCCTGTTTATGGCCTCTAACTTTTTACTCTTGAGGATTGGTAAAGGATTTTAGCCAATAAAATGCTGTTGCCATGCTGTATCTTTTGCTATTTGTGAACCTCTATATAAACAATAAAAGGCTGCGTAGGGTGGCCATTTCTTTGCACCCTTCAATGACTAAGGAGTGATTACTACAACTGAGTGCTTCCACCAGCCCAGATAGCACCATTCCATTCCAATGTCTTTCCAGGGGTCTGACGGATCCAGGACACTCCATAACTTGTGATGGCAAATCCAGAGACTGTACAAGTCAACAGTAGAGTATCTCCTGGCTTCTTAAGGCCATCACCAGACTCAGTAAGTGTAATCTGTGATGAAATACCTGCATTCAAAAATATATAAAGGACAAAAAGAGAAATTGGGTATAACGAAATTTAGAAAAAAGACTACTTTCTATCATAAAAAATGTGGGGTTTTTTTCCCCCTTACATGCAGGAAAGATCATTAAGAAAGAAACCAAAATATGTAGTTCCATGATTAAGGCACGGAATTCACTCTTTCCACCTGAAACTGATCTGAACTATATTCTCAATTACTGCCTTTAAGAAAAAGCCACACCAGGAATATTTGCATGAAATTACAGATGGTACAAATATAACCAAGTCACATCCTCAACTTCAACTATTGTGTTGAGCTCATATCAGGAATGGTGCATATCCACACTGCCTCTACTATACATTGATATTCGCTTTAGTGAGCAACTTATGTAGCTGTGGATTACGTGAAATCCCTTCTAGCTGAATTCAGTTTGGAATGAATTCATAGACAAGACCATGTTGTTTTCTTTGAATTGATACAGAAGGTGTTTGATGAGATGGTCTTCCTGAATTGGTTTTGATTTCCAATGTAGACTAGAATCCTGAGAATTCTATATTCTTCCATCCAAGTTTTAGGAAAGCCTTATCTTTCTGGCTTGAGGAATATTGATAGATTAATATTTTCCCCATAAAGGTCAGTATAAATATATCTATTTAGAAAACTGGTCTTAGAAACTTCAATTATATGAAGGTGTTCTTCCCTTATAAACTGAGCACCAATGGGTACAAACCATTTAATGAAATAACACAGATCCATTGAGGTATAGACAACATTGCTTGTCTTCTATATGCTGTCACTATAAACTCTTCCCTTCCCATCACAATATTGCCTTATAAATACATCTGTCTTGTGTTTTTTAAATGATGCTCATTTAACAAAAAGGTTAATTGGGGGAAGATTAATTTTATGACTTCCTATGGACAGGGATATCACTTGATCCTGCTTGCCTTTATATTCCCTATCATCAATAACAGCTACCAGTCAAACAGCAGCATGAAGCATAAAGTAGGGAGAAGTCAAAATGGAAGGAGAGAGAAGAGAAGAGAAGAGAAGAACACTTTTGTGTCAGCCTAGATGTACATACTTGAGAGATGGGACCCACAACATAGCCTATTGGGCAGCAGTTTTGCCAATTCCTGAACTGGAACAGCATACTGATTACTGACCTCTCATTTGGAGTAGTTCAATGCATTCTACATGGAGCTGCCCTTGAAGACCATCTGGGAACCAGAGTTATGTGTGCATGTCTTTAGGCCCATTTAACACTGCTAGCATTGGCTTCCAATAGACTCCTGTTATGATTCAAGGTGCTGGTTATCACCTTTGAAGCCTTACATGTAATAGAAAGGGGCAACTTGAGGGACCACTTTATTCCAAGAACATCTGCCTGCCCCATTTGCTCCCATAGTAAAGAATGCTTCAAATTTTAAAATTTCACACATAGCTGGCAGAGCATGGAAAAGAATCTAGTTGCCAGCTGCCATTCAAAAACAACAAATGACTAATGATTTATTTTGAGGAAGAGAAGTTTTAGGCTCCTTGAGCAAAGCATTTTTTTCAGTGTGTGTCTTGCACAGTAATAAGTGCCGGTGTCCTCAGGCTTTAAACCAGTCAATTGAAGGAACACCTGGTTTTTGGATGTATCCCTTGTGATGCTGATCCGATTCTGGAGAGCACTGTTATAGTAAGTGCTTCCACTAGCCCAGATAACACCATTCCATTCCAATGCCTTTCCTGGGGGCTGACGGATCCAGGACACTCCATAGCTTGTGATGGCAAATCCAGAGACTGTACAAGTCAGCCGTAGAGAATCTCCTGGCTTCTTAAGGCCATCACCAGACTCAGTAAGTGTAATCTGTGATGAAATATCTGTATTCAAGAAAATGGAAAGAACAAAAAGAGAAAATGGGTATGAGGAAATGTAGAAAAAAGACTACTTGCTATTTTAAAAAAAATGTGGGTTTTTTTCCCTTACATGCAGGAAAGACCATTAAGAAAGAAATCAAGATATGTAGTTCCATGATTAAGGCACGGAATTCACTCTCTCCACCTGAAACTGATCTGAACTATATTCTCAATTACTGCCTTTAAGAAAAAGCCACACCAGGAATATTTGCATGAAATTACAGATGGTACAAATATAACCAGGTCACATCCTCAACTTCAACTATTGTGTTGAGCTCATATCAGGAATGGTGCATATCCACACTGCCTCTACTGTACATTGATATTCGCTTTAGTGAGCAACTTATGTAGCTGTGGATTACGTGAAATCCCTTCTAGCTGAATTCAGTTTGGAATGAATTCATAGACAAGACCATGTTGTTTTCTTTGAATTGATACAGAAGGTGTTTGATGAGATGGTCTTCCTGAATTGGTTTTGATTTCCAATCTAGACTAGAGTCCTGAGAATTCTATATTCTTCCATCCAAGTTTTAGGAAAGCCTTATCTTCCTGGCTTAAGGAATATTGATATATTAATAAATTTATTTTTCCCATAATGGTCAGTATAAATATATCTATTTAGAAAAGTGGTCTTAGAAACTTCAATTATATGAAGGTGTTCTTGCCTTATAAATTGAGCACCAATGGGTATAAACCATTTAATGAAATAACACAGATCCATTGAGGTATAGACAACGCGCTCTACATTGGGCTATCCTTGAAAAGTATTCGGAGACTACAGTTGGTCCAGAATGTAGCCGCACGAGTGATAGTGGGTGCTCCTCGATACACCCATGTTACACCTATCCTCCGTGAGCTGCACTGGTTGCCTATTGGTCTCCAGGTCCAATTCAAGGTGTTGGTTATTACCTTTAAAGCCCTATATGGCTCAGGGCCAGGCTATATGCGAGACCGCCTACTACCTCATAGTTCCCTTCGGCCGGTTAGATCCCTCAGGCTGGGCCTCCTTCACGCCCTGTCGGCCAAGCAGTGCCATTTGGTGGGACTGCGGAGGAGGGCTTTCTCTGTGATGGTGCCCACGTCTTGCAACCAGCTCCCCCCGGAGATTAGGACCGCTCCCACCCTGTTGGTTTTCCACAAGCTGCTTAAGACCTGGCTTTCCAGCAGGCCTGGGGTTTATAAAACCTGACCCCTTGATGACTGTTATTGTATTGTTTGTTTTGTTAAGTTATGTTGTGTTTTTATTGTTAGCCGCCCAGAGTCCTACGGGAGTGGGGCGGTTTATAAATTTTAAAAATAAAAAAATAAAATAAATTGCCTCTCTTCAGGACCAAAAAATGGAAGTGACTGAAAGTTCAGATGTGGGGAGAGTTGAAGACCATGAATGGAGACACTGAGAATGGCTACTGATGCTGTCACTACAAACTCTTCCCTTCCCATCACAATATTGCCTTATAAATACATCTGTCTTGTGTTTTTTAAATGATGCTCATTTAACAAAAAAGGTTAATTGGGGGAAGATTAATTTGATGACTTGCTATGGACAGGGATATCAATTGATCCTGCTTGCCTTTATATTCCCTATCATCAATAACAGCTGCCAGTCAAACAGCAGCATCAAGCATAAAGTAGGGAGAAGTTAAAATGGAAGGAGACAGAAGAGAAGAGAAGAGAAGAGAAGAGAAGAGAAGAGAAGAGAAGAACACTTTTGTGTCAGCCTAGATGTACATACCTGAGAAATGGGACCCACAACATAGCCTATTGGGCAGCAGTTTTGCCAATTCCTGAACTGGAACAGCATACTGATTACTGACCTCTCATTTGGAGTAGTTCAATGCATTCCACATGGAGCTGCCCTTGAAGACCATCTGGGAACCAGAGTTATGTGTGTATGTCTTTAGGCGTACTTAACACTGCTGGTTTGTGAGTTGCATTGGCTTCCAATAGGCTCCTGTTATGATTCAAGGTGCTGGTTATCACCTTTGAAGCCTTACATATCACAGAAAGGGGCAACTTGAGGGACCACTTTATTCCAAGAACACCTGCCTGCCCCACTTGCTCCCAAAGTAAAGGCATGCTCCAAATTTCCCCTTTTAAACTTTCACACATAGCTGGCAGAGCATAGAAAGCAATCTAGTTGCCAGCTGCCATTCAAAAACAAAAAATGACTAAGGGTTCATTTTGAGGAAGCGAAGTTTTAGGCTGCTTGAGCAAAGCATTTCTTTCACTGTGTATCCTGCACAGTAATAAGTGCCAGTGTCCTCAGGCTTTAAACCAGTCAGTTGAAGGAAAACCTGGTTTTTGGATGTATCCCTTGTGATGGTGATCCGATTCTGCAGAGCACTGTTATAATCAGTGCTTCCATCATTCCAGATAGCACCATTCCATTCCAATGCCTTTCCTGGGGGCTGACGGATCCAGGACACTCCATAGCTTGTGATGGCAAATCCAGAGACTGTACAAGTCAGCTGTAGAGAATCTCCTGGCTTCTTAAGGCCATCACCAGACTCAGTAAGGGTAATCTGTGATGAAATACCTGCATTCAAGAATATAGAAAGGACAAAAAGAGAAAATGGGTATGAGGAAATGTAGAAAAAAGACCACTTGCTATTTTAAAAATTGTGGGTTTTTTCCCCCTTACATGCAGGAAAGATCATTAAGAAAGAAATCAAGATAAAAAGCTCCATGATTGAGGTACAGAATTCACTCTCTCCACTTGAAACTGATCTGCACTATATTCTAAATTACCGCCTTTAAGAAAAAGCCACACCAGGAATATTTGCATGAAATCACAGATCGTACAAATATAACCAAGTCACATCCTCAACTTCAACTATTGTGTTGAGCTCATATCAGGAATGGTGCATGTCCACACTGCATCTACTGTACATTGATATTCGCTTTAGTGAGCAACTTATGTAGCTGTGGATTACGTGAAATCCCTTCTAGTTGAATTCAGTTTGGAATGAATTCATAGACAAGACCATGTTGTTTTCTTTGAATTGATACAGAAGGTGTTTGATGAGATGGTCTTCCTGAATTGGTTTTGATTTCCAATCTAGACTAGAGTCCTGAGAATTCTATATTCTTCCATCCAAGTTTTAGGAAAGCCTTATCTTCCTGTCTT